ACGAAAAAAGAAGCAGAAGAAGCACACAAGGAGCCACGGAGAGCGGACCGGTAGAGGCTTCGGGACAGACTGTAGGGAGAAGCACGCAAGGAGCCGCGGAGAGCGGACCGGTAGAGGCTTCGGGACAGACTGTAGGGAGAAGCACGCAAGGAGCCGCGGGGAGCGGACCAACAGAGGCTTCGGCCGGGAGGATTCCCGGGGCAGGCTGTACGGAGAAGGAAAATAAAAGAAAAGGTTGTCCACTGCCAGACTTTGTTGTGTGTCCTTCCTGCCGGCCGGGAGTGACACCGACAACAAATATTCTCTATTTTGATATTTCTTGATGGTATACTTAAGAGCATTTTTAATTTTTCTAAACTATGACTTATTCTTGTATTGTTTGCTTTTAATGTCATATCTAAGAATCTACTGCTTAATCTAAGATTGCTTAAAACCTAATTTAAAACACATGTTTTAAGAGTTTTATAAGCTACTAAACTTAGTTGTAATACCCATTTAATTTTTATGTATGACTTGAGGTAAGGGTCCAGTTTCCTTCTTTGTATGTAGCTATCTAGTTGCTATAGCACATTCTGTTGAAAGATTATTTTTCCACATTAAATGTCTTGCTATTCTTATTAAAAAAAATCAATGCTTCTTAAAGCGATAATTTTTAGTGTTTCAAGCCTATCCCACTGATCTACATTTCTATCTTTATGGCACTGATATTCTAAAGACTACTGTAGCTTTCAAGCAAATTATTTTTATTGCAGCAAAATACACAACATGAAATTTACCATTTCAACCATTTTCAAGTGCATATACCAGTGGCATCAAGAATTCAGTGTTGTGCAACCATCTCCACAATTCAACTCCTAAACTTTTTCTACCACCCAAACACAGTAAATTTTGAAACAGGGAAGATATAAGTGAGATGAATTGTTCTCCAACTCAGGACCTCGTGCTTTTCAGGTGTTCTCTTTTTTCACGATTGTTTTGGTTATTTAAGATCTTTTGCATTTCCACATTAATTTTAGAATTGGTTTGTCAATTTCTACAAGAGACAGCTGAACTATTTGTAGTTCCCAGATCTGTAGATCAGTTTAGGCAATAGTTTCAGATTTCAGTGACATTAACTCTTCCTATAAACAAATATGGGATAGCTTCATTTATTTTGATCTTTAATATATTTTAACAACCAGACATACTGATGCATGTAATCCTTGCACCACTGAGGCAGGAGGAGCACCTTGAGTTTGACATAGCCTGGGCTACACAGTGAGTTCAATACCAGAATGAACCACATAACAAGACCCTTTCTCAAACAAAACAAAACAAAACAAAACATTTCTATTATATTCCTTTAGATACTGTTGTATCCAAACTTATTTTCTTATCTTTGTTCATGGCTACTGTTTACATTTTTTTCTATTTGGTGAATTCCTTTAATATACAAGAGTATATCATTTGTAAGTAGAGATTAGCTCTTGTTTTTTCCAAGTCAGATGTCTTTATTCTGCTTTTTTTTTTTTAACTGCCCTGGCTAGAATCTCTGATACAGTGTTGAACAGAAGCAATGACAACAATGAATTTTTTTTTGGGTGGCACTGGCTAGCAGCTAGTAATTTATTTTTTGTTTTATTTTGATTTCTTGCTAGTATGTTTGCAGTACATGATTATATTCTTGTAGGGAGTTGGTAACTCTACATAACACATCTTACTTCTGTTTTCATCCCCTTCCCTTCACCTTCTATCCCTTGGTCCCCATTTCTACTTGAGAAAGCTTGATCTCCCTACTTTGTTACCTATTTATTTTGTTCTTTGTTATATTTTAGGTTTCTCATACAAGAGAAACCAGGCAACATTTAAGCTTGTGTATCTGATTTATTTCACTTAAATTATGATGACAAAGTACACCCACTTTTCTATAAATGACTGATTTATCCTTCTTTATGACAAAGTAGTACTTCACAGTATATAAATATATTTTCTTTATCCATTTATCTCTTGGGTAGATAGGCTGCTTCCAAGATTTACCATTATTATGAATTGTGCTGCTTAAGATGAGTTGCATGTCACTGTAACAGTGAATTTTTATGAAAAAAAGATCCAACACAGTAAGCTTGAGACTCCAATCCTTCAAAAACATGTAAGGCTGGCCCGTGGTTCGTATCTAAAAAATTAGCTCTGAGGATGAGTCTGATGACTTTCTGACGTTCATTGTGCCTTATTAATGCAAATAATCTGTTTTTGGATGAATAACTATTTTTCTTTAGGGACTCTGGAATTTTGGTACATGCTAGGTAAAGGCTTTCTCTATGAATGATTTCCAATAAAAGGTCTTGACTCTTTTGACTCAGGGAAACTCCTGATAGACAACATTCCATACATGTCAAAACATGTTGCTGGATGATTTAAGGTGTGTCCCATGTAGTTTTGTCCTGAGAAGTCTTGAAAGCTTGCACCTCACTTCCTTATTTTTCTATATGCACCTTTACTTCTGCTAATTTTGCTTTTTATCCTTATTGCTGCACAGCTGTGAGTATGACCACTTTCAAGTCCTGTATTCTTCCTACTGAATCATTAAGCTTGGTATGGTGTGGAGACCTATGATACTTTTTTGTTTTTGTTGTTGTTGCTATTTTTAGAAGAGGCATCCTTAGGCAGAATTTTAAATGTACACATTCAAGCATATATTTATGGGGGCTTGAGGGTGTCCCTAAAGCAGCTTATCTATGATAAGCATCTGTCATGTTTTGCCCATTGGATGTATTAAAATGCAGTCAATTTACATTTGAAGCTGAGACATGCTGTCCTTTCAGACTTTCTGAGTGTGGAGTTGGTAAAAGGAAGCACAGATGAGGATGGGGGTTATAAGAGGGACTGCAATTTACAGGTGAAAGTTACAGGCAAAGCCTAGTTTATAGGTTCATTGTCTTTAAGGTTCTTAGGAATTTTTCTCAGAAAGGAAAAACGCTGGAATAATATTTGTCCTAAAGCTACAGTTTTTCTTTAAAATTACATTTAACATTATAAGTTCCTTGTTTCCTTTTTAAATCTAACCTATTTCATTTCCCCCTCCCAACTTTGATATCTTATTCTTATGAGCTATAGATGGGTTGAAGTAACTGGTACTTTAGACTGATTAATCATACTTGCCAGGAAAAAAAAATCTCATTTTGACTGACCTAAAGAAGACAAAGGCAGATATGGTTGTTACCAGCATATCATTGAAACTTAAGGCAGAATCTGATATTGCAATAACTTTTGGATATAGGTCTTGTAATGCAGAAGACACATTTGCAGAGTTATTGGGAATATATACACATTTCGTTTTAATAATAGCACAGATGAGCATCAGCTTGACTAAGAGCTAGAGAAGTCAAAGTTTTAGTCTTGATGCTTGCTTATCACCTGTGGCTCATGGCCAAAGGAAATCTCACTGGACAAGGTCCAAACAGGTCCCAAAAGTGGAGAGGAGGAATCCTGAGGAACCCCATGCATGGGGCAAGTTGCAGGTTTGCTGACTTCCATCACTGAAAAAGAATCCTCAGTACGCATCAGTAAAAGGCATAAAGAGATTTATTAGGCAGAAGTTTTAAATTATACACTCAAAGAAACAGAGTGTGGGCCCTCAAGGAGGAGACAGGCCTTTTGTGGTTGTTCTGAACGGTAAAGCAATCAGTCTTTCATCATGACGTTATCTGTTGGCTCTTCATAGATGCCCTCTACAGGTGGAGAACATTTCATTTAAGTTATTTTTAATCATCACAAAAATATGTTGGATTTTGTCAGTGCTTTTTCTACATCTGTTGAGAATTAGGAGGCTTTTGTTTTACAGTCTATTAACAGGTTATACTACATTTAGTCTTTAGGTTAACAGGTTAATTGATTTTCAAATATTAAACAAAGCACACATTCCTAGGATGAATGACACTTGGTCTTGGACTTCTATTAAAGAACAAAGGCAAATTAAAAAGCAACCAAATTCATAATCTCAAATATAGCAGTTATAAGTGCTGCTAAGATTAAAATAAAATAGGACAAGAAAATGAGATGCTAGGACTATATTCTAGGAAGGTGTCTCTAAGGTAATGATTATTTGAATAGCGATGTGAATAATTTGAGAGAGACACTGTGAAGAAATGCCAGGTGGAAAGCCAAGCAAACTGCGAAGAGCTTGAAGCAGGAACGATCTCAGTGTGTGGAAGGTTAGTCCTAATAAGATGGCCACTATGGTCAAATAATTAAAACAGAGTAAAGAAATCTGGATTTTATTATAATTGTGATGGGTACACACTGACGCGTGCTTTTCTGCCTGCGCAAATAGTCTTTATTTTTCTTAGTTTTCTAGTTAACATTTATTTGAAAATCTAGCTTTACCTTCTCTTGGACATGTTCCTTAAATTCTCAGAAATGCCAGTGACCTCTGTAATACACGTGAGCAATGAGAGCTTATTGACCTCTTTTCGTCCTGCTGAAGAACCAGAATTTTGTCTTTTGTATCTGTATAGTCCCAGAGTCTAACATAAACATTTATTAAAAACTAATCTTCCTGCCTGGCAAGCGCGAGGTCGTGAGTTCGAGCCCGGGTAACAAAAACAAACAAAAAACTAATTTCTTGAGCAGTGCAAGCTTGACTCTTTCTGAGTACTTCAGGTGGCTCTTGGCAGACCTGGGAAGCTAGGCAGGCCTTGGTTGCCCTGGGAAGCTTCAAACTCGCTGCTTTGGCTGAGATCGCCCATTGAAGACGCGACCTCCCAATTGTCAGGTGCGGAGTCCTCTATGCAGGTCTTTGCCCATCCTTTCTAGCTCTGGATGGATCCTCAAGTGGAAATGGGAGGAGGGAAACTTCCGGCTTTCCCGCTTTGCCAGCAAACCCTTTCCCGGCCTAGTCTTGCACCCAGTTCCCCGTGCCCACCCATAGTCAAGGTCCAGCTCATGCTGTCCACGCCGCCATCCGCCTTTCTTCTATTGTACATGCCCTCGTCGGTACACAATCTCCCACCGCCCCCACTCACCTAGGATGCGGGTGATGCCAAGCGTCAGCTTCTCCAGGTGAGGCTTGTTGCAGCCCAGCGGCGGGGGCGGCGTCTCCTCCATGGCTCGCGTCCCCACTCGCCGCGCGGTCGGCAGCCCACCGGAGAGCTCAGCAGACCCGAGAAGCCCCGGACCCCGCCTCAGCACCGCGGCCTTCAAGCTCGCGGCATGCCGGGAGCTGTAGTTCTTGACGCCTGAGAGCGCAGCGGAGGAGGATGGGGGACCCGGGCTGGTCCGGTAGCAACAGCTCAATAGGGAGATCCTTTCCGAGGCTCAGGACAGTGTACGACACTGCACCTCCACGACCCCACCTCCCCTTCGCCCGGACCCTGCAGCCCCGCTGTGGCCGGCCTCGCAAGCGGGGGCGGGCCTCTGCGCGTGACGGCCAATGGGGGCTGAGCCTGGAGGCCGGGGCGTGGCGGCCCCAGCGCAACACCCCCAGTGGCGGTTGTTTCAAGATGGCGGACGTGGTGGGCCCCTCCCGCCCCGGTGCCGCGGCGTTTTGGAGCAGGGACTGTATCCTTTGCCCGGCTGGCAGGGGGCGCCGGCGCCCTCCGCAGTGCGGCAAGGGGCGAGAGGTCGCGTGGGACTCCGGGTGGACAGACGCGCGGTGTGGACCCTGGGGACGGGGGTCCCACCGTCCGGTTTCTGTTTAGGGCTAGGGGTCCCTTTGCTTCCTTGTCAAGCGTTTCAGTCAAATTCCAGGTGTGGGAACGCTGCTGATAGTTCCCACCCGGTGTTCTAGGTGGTGAGTGTGGGAAAGATGGCCTGTGATGGAGGCCCGGCCTGGGTTGGCAGCATCACTTTGGTGTCCCTCCCAGTCCTCAGGCCGACCAAAAGTGCGGAGTGAGTTTGTGGTGGAGGGAGATGGGCGTTAGCTGGGCCGGGCTCTGTGCTAGCTAGGCGGAAAGCCTTTTTTGGCTTGATTTGGAATTGTCCATAGTTGGTGTTAGGAGCAAGGCAAGACCCCTTTGGACTAAGAAGGCTAACGAGTGATGAAGCCCTCGTGCTGATGCTTTAAGAGAAATGTAGGGTTTGGTTTCACTGGGACGTCCTAGTGGGATTTGAATTTTTGTACCTAGAAGTTGAGTTGCTTACCATGTAGACTGTGGGTCAATATCTGCAAGGATTGACATTTTGGGATGAAAAAGTTCTAGAGCTTTCTATCCCTGTGGTAGTAATCTGAGTACAATTCCTGTAATGAGATGTGAGATGTTTGTTTTACAGTTGTGCTGTCCTTGGGTTAGGTATGCTATTATCGCCTGAGCTTTTGTCCTTGTAATTTAATTCTTTGTTACAAGAGTGTCATTTGGAAGAGGGATGTTATTAAATGCCCTCAAAGACTAGTATTTTTGTCTGTTTGCTAGGCTTGGTGATAGCAGTGCTGTTACATTTGGGAGAAGCTGTTACACTTCTTGGACATTTTACTTAGCTTCCTAAGCAGGCCTAAGTAGTGAAATTTACAGAACTGTGTTACCAGTTCTTTTTATTGAGTTAACTAGGTTTAGAGTGTCATGTATGCAGAGAATATTTTTACAAACTATACTGCTACAGTTTCAGTATTATGCACTTACTAAATAGTTATCATTTGTCTCTGGCAGGTTGGTGAGAAGCAAATGAAACTGTGAATATAGACTGTGGATGAAAGCAAACTGGTGCACTGTGTAAATTAATATGTTATCCTTTACCTATCAGTAATGAGTGGTATTTATCAGGGATGAAGAAATTACATGCATTGGGGCTAACTCTCAGGAACTTGATGAGTTTCCAAATGAAATACTGCTTCTGCATTGATAGGAGACTTTTAAAGTTATCAGCTTGCATCAGCTAATAGTATTGTTCACATATAGACTACAGGGTTGAGGGGTGTGTGACTGTGTTGTACTGCGATCAGGTAAGTTAATAAGCATGTAGACTGAACTTGTGCTCTTGGTCTTAGCAGCACTGGCTTTGCTTATTAATGTGGCCATATCATTGTACTTCATGTAGAAGTCATATGTGTTCTCTATCTCTTAACTTCTCTCCTACTCTGAAAATTTAATATCAAATACTCATCTACCTATGGATAGTAAGAAATTGTATTAGAAAATATAGTGATTACATGTTATAGAAATTCAGAAGTAGGAAAGTAATTGAAGGTTACTAGTGTCACCTGCTTCCCCAACCTATTCCATAACATAAGCAATTAATATCCAGCCCTCAGTTTTTCCTTTTAGGTGCATAGGGCATCAAAACAGTGTCAAATGTAAATTTTTTACTGAACATTTGATAGTTGTCAGTCATTTGGTTTAGTACTGTGCTTTGGATCTTGATTTCTTTTCTGTTACATTGATGTTTCCCCATACTATCCTAGGGTCCTTATAGTAGAATTTTCAATATGAAAAGGCCAAATAGTATGTCCCTATGATCTCGTATAGTTTTTACACCACTGAAAAAAAAAAAGTTTGCATGCCTCATCTAAGCCATTGGAAAAATGTGATTGAGTGGTTTCTCAATCATGGAAGTTTCCATCATGAGAAGACAGATCATCTGAGACTGTCATTTTTTTTTTTACTGTTGTTCTTGTTGTTTATGTATATTCTGCACATTATGGTTCAGCAGGGCTATTTGGGAAAGGTTTGTCTTAGTCCCTAATATATAAAGGATGGATATGGCATATTATCATTTCATGGGTTAAATCTTCCAGTAAAATATGCATCATCAGTTGAAATTGCTTTGCTGCTTATTATAGTTGCTAATAATAATAGAAGTAGTAAATTTGATTGCTTACATGCACTCAAGTGGATTATCATTAGCAGTATTAGTAACTTGATATTACCTAATATGAACTGCAAAGGACTCAGTCAAAACATTGCGGTTGCTATAATCTCTTCCGTTGAATTTCCAAATAAGGATAGACAAAGACTTTATGATGATGTAAAAAGGATTTCCTCACTCAGAAGTCTTCATGGTCACTAATGATTGCATACACACGGGTGTTAAAGTGGGCATTTCTAAACTTCTTTACTTCAGATCCTAAATATATGGAAGGGAGGTATATATATTTTCTGCCATTTTTGCCATGGGTTTCTAATTACAGCTTCAGTTTGGGACTTTAAATTGATTGATGCTAGCAGTAAAGATACTTCATAAGTTGATATACTTGTCTTATTGAGGTGTGTCTAAAGAAATCAAAGTAGAGCTTGGGATTTAGCTCAGCGGCATAAGCACCTGCCTTGCAAGCAGGCAGTCGTGAGCTCAATCCCTGGTACCGATAAAAAGGAAAAAGACAAAAAAAAAAAAAAGAAATCAAAGTAGAAATAAGGTGACACAAGGAATACAATAGTATAGCCGGTATACATTTGGCATATACTACATCCCTTTTACATCCCATGTACATTTTGGGGAGGTTCTTTACAGTAAGGTAAATATATGGGTCTTAAAGAGTTGAAGATTGATTATAGAGTGTTAGACACCTTTGAGTGGAAGCGATTTCAAATTTAATCTTTTTTTTTTTTGGTACTGGGAATTTAACTCATGACCTCGCATTTGCCAGGCAAGTGCTTGTGCCACTAAGCTAAATCCCCAGCCCATATTTTTTTTTAAAAAAATATTGAAGTCACTTTATATTTTTTCTGTTTGAAAAGAAATTTGGTTGCATATATGGCTAGAAGTATTAAGATTTGCCTATATATTTTGAGTGAGATAAAAGAAAGAATACTGCATTTGGGCCATGCGTCATAAAATTAAATAAATATCAGTTTCATTCTTTCATAGATGGCTTAGTTATGAACCAGCATTCTTTTATATTTGGGAATACAAATTTGAACAAAGAAAAAGTCATTACCTTTTTGTATACATCCAGTGAGAATACACCAAGAATAAATAATATATATTGTATAGTTATATCTGCTATGGATAAAAGTGAAGGAGAAAAGGATTGTGTGGTAGGGGAAAATAGATGAGTTGCAGGAAGAGAATTTTACAATTTTATGATATTAAGTACTTACATGGTTAAGAAAGTAAAGGTCTCAGTCGGAAGATGACCAGAGCCCTAAAGTTGATGAGTGAACCATAAAGATACTGAGAAAGAGCAGGCAGATAAAAGAAATCATAAATGGAAAAGTTCTGAAGCAGAGACTTTTATAATTTGTTAACAAGTATCAGGAAGCCAGGTGTCTTAATTCCTTACCTCGTTATTGGGACAAAATACTGGACATCCAAGGTTGAAGAGGGAAAGATTTATTTAACTCATGGTTTGTAGAGTTTTTAGTCCATAAACTGCTCAGAAGCAGGGTGGTGGCAGAAGACCACCATGGTTTGCTAAAGCAACAAGAGCAAAAAAGTGCAACAAGCCCTTTTCCCCCCTTTTATCCGGACTGCTGGTATTAGGGTGATGGCAGCCCAGTCAGTGGAGTGATACAACAACCACCCAGCCTCAATCCCCGCACCTTTAATCCCAGCATAACACTATGAGTCAGTCGCAGACTTTAGATTTAATTACCCCCCCCCCCCCCGTGACTACGGGAGGGTCTGGGGTGATATTCAGACACAAACTGTTAACAACAGGAATGAGTGAACGGAAGAGTAATAAGAAATGAGGTTAGAGAGGTAAGACAATGGAGAGGTCAGATTTTGAGCACTGTGAGCCCTTGTAAATGCTCCTGAGCTTTTAATGTGAGTGAGGTTTGATACACATTTTTTGATATTTTATTTTAAAAAGAATAAAATCAAACAAAACAGAATAAAACCAATCAGAACACTGAAAGCATTACAGACTTCAAAACCAGGTAATAGGACATCAATAGTGGCTACCATAATGTCTCCTATTTTCTTCAAGATAGGTGCCTATACCATCAGACACAGTAAAATCAAATAGAAGAAGACAGAATAAAACCAAACCTAATAAAACAATGAAAATGATATGGGAATTCAAAACAAGATAGTAGGAAATTAACAGTGGTTACCACCTTCTCTTTTTAGACATTTCCTCCCCTATAGTATCTGTTGTACATTTTGGATCCCACTAACTCCTTCAGTTTTTTATGCTAGGAAGATAACACAGTGTTCACCTATATGAGTCCAAATCATTTCACCCATGAGCACGATCTCAAGTTGCATCCATTTACCTACAAGAGCCTCAAGATATCTTTCTTACTGCTAAGTAGCTTTCCCTTGTATAAAAATACCATATCTTCCTTGTCCGTTTTGCGGTTGATGGACAAACTACTACTTTTTTATGGTTTTCTATCACATGGAGCATTGTTTCCTTTCCTTTGACTTTTGGTCTGTGAATTTCCTTTCAAGTTAAATGTGCTTTTTGTACACAACATATTGATGGATCTTGTTTCTTGATCCAGTCTCCCTGCATTTCTTTTTATTGGTGAATTGAGGCCATCTATGTTGATGGTTGCAACTGACATATATTGGCTCATCTCTGTAATGTTACCCTCCTTCTGTTGACCCCTCACTTTGCCTGTCTATTCAATTGCCTGCCCTGTTTGGGGATCCTCCTCTGTTGCTCTTCCTGGAAACATGGTCATCTTTATTTCTCTCTAGAATATCCTTCAGCGCTCTTTATGTGGTTGATTTGGTGGTCATGAATTTCTTCAGTTGTTCTTTGTCATAGAAGTATCTTATTTTTCTGTCAATTTTGAAAGATGGTTTTGCAGGGTACATCAGTCTGGGTTGGAAGTTGGAGTGAATCTGGATGTTTCTCCTTGCCCACACTGGCTGCCCGCAGGAAGCAAGTGTCCTGATCTTAATATAAATTTTAAAATTTTTATTCTAACCACTGTGTGAAAAATGGGCTTTTGATGGTTATGCCCAGAAATAAGAGAGCAGTTACAAAATTGTAATAATCTTGACTAGAGAAAAAAGTGACTTGGATCAAGGTCAGACATGTTGGTGAAATGTAGTTATATAGAGATACAGACATATAGACAATATATATCTGTATACTGCATTTTGAAAGCCTTGCTAGCAGACTTTTAAGAAGGTAAATATATGAAAGAAACAGAGGTCAAGAATAACTTCATGATCTTGGCCTGGACAGCTGGAAGGATGGACAGCAATTTACTGAGATGGGAATGGCTGTGGGAGGCTTTTGAGAAGATGGTTAGCACTTCAGTTTTGGACATGTTAAGTTTGGAATTTTGTGTGTGTGATACTTGAGATTTCACCTGTGAACTTTCATATTGAGCCACATCCCCAGTATTTTTTAATGTTTCATTTTGAGACAGAGTCTCCATAAGTTGCTCTGACAAGGCTTGAATTTGTGATTTTTCTTTTTTGTGGTACCAGGGATCAAACTCATGACCTTGTGCTTGCCAATCAGGTGCTTATGCCACTGAGCTAAACCCAGGCCTGAATTTGTTATTCTCTTGCCTTATCTGGGATTAGAGGCATTCACCACCACACCAGGCAAATTTGAGATATTTTGTAAATCTAAGTGGCAGTGTCCGGTTAGGGGGGGATAGGCTTATGCTAGAGATTAATTTGACAGAAATCAACTCATTGATGGTAAAGACATGAGAACTGAAAAAGATCAAGAGAATATGTAGATGCCATATCACAGTTTAAGATTGAAGCCCTGGGACACTCCAGGATTTGTAGGGCAGAAAGAGTCAGGAGATACAGAATGAATCATTCAAAAAGTAAGAGGGAAATTAAGAGTACAGTATATGGTGTCATTGCAAGGCAGAAAAGATGTTTTAAGGAGAGTGGTCATCTATGTCAAGTGCTATTGATAGATCACGTACAGAGAAGCCTGAACATTGTTGGATTTAACAGTACAAGATATTATAAGTATGTTAAAAGTAATCCTAGATTGATAGGCTCAAAAGGGTTGGTTTGGTTTGGTTTGGTTTATTTTCTTGCTGGCCTTGAACTCACTGTATAACTCTAGCAGGCCCTTATCTCAAAGCCATTTTCCTGCCTCAGGCTCCCAAGTACTGGGAATACAGGTGTGTGCCATGATGCCAGGCGCAAAAGCTTGGTTGTAGAAAAGTTTGATTGGGAGGAGAACTGGAAACAATGAATGGAAATAAAAATGGCACTATAGTTGGAGAGGGCTGTACAATCAAGAGTTTTTTTTCTGGAAAAATAAGGTATTACATATTTGAATGCTGCTGGGTAAAGTTAAAGAGGAAAAAGATTGATTCAGAAGAAAGGAGGAAAATATCAGAAACAGTATCTTTGGATAAGAAGGCAATTTTTAATAGAAGGGTTGCATTCACTTTAGAGCGATGCTTGAATAGTCCATGTGTAGCAAAAAGAGGAAGAGCAGAATCTATAAATGGTGTTAGGTGTGCTGGAAAAAACTTGGGGAAGATATTTACAGTTAGTTTTCCTTAAAGAAATAGGAAACAGTTTACTCGCTGAGAATCAGGTTAGAGAACTTGTACCAGATTTAAGAAGAAAGTAGAAAATACTTGACTGCTCTTGCAAATCCGAAGCTGAGTAGGCTTTCCAGTGGCTGGTCTCTTCCACTGTTAGCAGGCTCCTTTGTGAATCCTTAAGAAAGTATAGTTTGTTTTCTAGGATTCAGAATTATGTTAGTCTTCCCATAAGTCATCTTTGGAGAACAGTCTGAAAATTTTTCTATACTCTGTCTTGTAGTTAAAAGCACTGTCATATGGAACATGTCTTGCCCCATTGTCCAGGATTTTTCTTCCTGGGTGCTTTTCCCCAAGTATGTTTCAAATAGTAAATAAACATTTATTGAGTATCTCTTATGTGTACAAGGTCCTGTGCACATTCTAAGGGATGTGAAAAAAATGAATCAGTTTTTTCTTGGATGACCTGAACAATTTTATTTTATAAGGCTATTTTTAAATTGATATCCAGTGAATTTAAACATTTTCTGCTCCCATATTTGTGGCTGTCAGTTTCTTTGACATAGTGGTTCTAATTTTGTGTACTTGCCTTATGTGTCTCCTTTTCTAAACTCAATCCCTGATGTCTGGAGGAAACTGAAAATTTAGGGAGACCTATTATCAACTTAAATATTAAAGCTATGATCCTGCAGGTGCTGCAGAGAGGTATGAAAAACTAACCGGCAGCTCCGACAGTAGGCATTAGTATTTCTAATAAGTATTCTTATAACACTCTAGGCATTTTGGGTCGGTATTACATGGAAAGACTCCATCATTTGGGTTGATATTGTGCTAAAATACGTTACTTTTTTGGTCATATTATTAAACCTATGGTAGCCTGTTCTATCAGGCCAGAGTTAGTGACTGCTTTAATGGAAATCTTTGAATACATTTTTAAAAGAATAGAAAACACTGGAAACTTTCTAGATCATTTGGAAAGAAAATCATTTAGATGCTGCTTGTCTGAAGTATAATAAAAACTTTGAACTTATCTAGATTTAGATATATTTCTGACTATGATTTTGATTCCAGAAAGAAAGCTTTTTATTATTTTGGTTCTCTTTCTGTAGCAATGTTATAATCTTAAATTTTCTTTCTAACATTTTCTTAAATTTTCTTTCTAACAAAATATAACATTTCTTTCTAAATTTTCTCTTTTGAAATTAAAGATGATTCTTTTTGTCTTCATTTCTTTCTATTTTTTGGATAATAGGACTTTTTGAGACAGTCCATGAATGCATTGTAGAAGAATAAATATTGTCTTTGTGTTTGCATGATTGACTTGCCCCTCAAACAGTGATTTGATGTTCAAAGCTAAGCTTCATCTTGAAATTATGTATATGAAAGTGTTAGGAGGAAGTAACTTGCTAACTTTTTAATAATGGGCAAACTGGAAAACTTAGCTACTTGTTTACAAAAGAAAAGGAACCTGAAAATGGGATGTATATGATGAGATATTCTGCTTCGGTAGTAAATAAAAGTTTTCAAGAAACAAGACTTTCGTAATTTTTATAAATTATTTAAACAATATTGATTTTGCTGCATTTAATTCAATTATCTGTCTTTCTAGTTTTGTCTTTAATAGTTATCAATTTCCAGGTCAAAAGTTGAATAATTGTAACACATAGATACACATATATATGATGAATAATTCTAATATATATATTTGATTATATATATTAGTTATATGTATTGTATATATTATATAATGTAATATATATATGTGTGTGTATATATATATATATATATATATATATGGAGCAACATCTGGAAAATGTTATAATCTTTATGGTATTTTCCTTCATGTTCCTTTTCATAGTTTCTGATGAAGAACAATCAGTAGTATATGTTCCAGGTATGACTTTCTGTATTAAAATTTGGGAAGTTTCTTTTGCTTCTAAAGTATTAGAAAACAAAACTTGAGGACAACTTTGAAGGTATAACTGGATGCCAAGCAGTCCATCAGAACCTAAACTTATTTTTTCAAAGCAAATTTAAAAATCCAAATATTTAAAAGTATTTGATGAGACTCTCAAGGTTTGAAATACTGGCTTATTTTAGGAATTAGCTAGATTGAGTCAGCTTTTAATGAACTTGTAGGGTATTTCATGTATTCATGGACAGAATGTTTTTAAAATGTTTAAATGAGTAATAGTCTAAATATAACATTTCAAAAGAAAGTGAAAACTTCTTGATACAGTACATGTAAGAAATTCTTTAAAGTTCAGTGATTGTTACTAGATGAATACTAAAATGGAATCATTGAAAGTAGCCTAATTAGGTGATATCTTTGATTCTTGTGTTAAGGTATCTATGAAACATGTTGCAATTACTTGGTTTTATTGTGACTTATGAGTGTTCACAAAACCTTTTAAAATACTCCAGTTGAATTTTTTGATATTTCTTTAAAGCATAACCTTTTCATGATGCATTTTTTTCCCTTGTCTTTTTGAGACAGGCCAGTTCAGGCTGGCCTTGAATTCACTTTGTAACCAAGGCTGGTCTCAAACTTGCAAGCATCCTTCTGCCTCAGCCTCCTAAGTGCTAGGATTACAGGCATGTGCTACCATGCCCACATTGCAATGCATTATATATTAAGAGAGCTTTAAAATGAAGTTTTTAAAGGAAATCCTTCCCATCAGATTCCATAACGTATAGGATACCAACAAAGAGGTTAACTGGGAGGGTTTAAGAGGATTAAAAAGATACAATTTTTCTGAATTCTTGTTTAATGAAAACCTATAGGAGTTTCTACAGAAGGAAATATGAGATCAAGACACAAATTGCTAAATCCAAGAGCTGATGCTAAAGTTAAGACCCCCAGGGTGACTGATGCTTCGGTTTCTGTGGAATCTTTAAAAGGTGCAGGAGATTCACTAGATGAACAGGTCAGTAATTTTTTAAAAACATTTTTATTAGTTCTTGTAAGTGCTGACCAATAAGGGTACAAGAGCCTATAATTCATAGAACATTAGTTGATCTACAAGCATTCATAAACGGTAGAGAAACTTCCGAAGTTGTTTGATAATAGTGGGTATGAATATAAAATGTCTAATTACTCAAAGGTTTTGCTCCAAATATCTAGACATATTTTAATCCTTAAGAAAATGTATTACTTTTAATATAGTATGTTTTGAAAGATCTACATTCTGATCTATGTGGTAGAAATAAATCAGATTAACAAAAATTTTCTTAAAATTATGTATCATTTATGATTTTTTCTTTTGAATTTATTGATGATACACCCTTTTATATAAGAACATGTTATTCTATTTATTCTGATTTTTCTATTAAAAAATTGACCTGCATCATTATCATTACTATTATCATTACTTTCACTTGGAAAATAATATAGTCTAATTTTTTATAGCCCAATCATAGATTTCTCCCTTGTCTTTATAATAGTATCTGCATTTTTGTAATTTGTACATCATATTTCAGACAAGTATCTAGCTGGATCTTTTGTGTGTATATAGACTTTTATTTGACAGTTTTCTTCTGCCCAAATGGTTGCTGATCTACTTATTTTATTTTCATTTTTATTATATTTTCTATCTTCAACGAAAGTTAAAGACAGTATTTGCTATTTATGATCTGTGGATCAAACCTTCTGTTGGTTGTTTTGCAAATACATAAAATTTGTTTGAATCCCAGTTCATCCCATTCTTTTAGGTATGGTCTGTGGCTGCTTTTGTGTTAATGAGAGTAGCTACAGAAACTGTATGCCAGCAAGCCAAAAACATTTACCATTGAATACTTGCCATAAATTTTCACAATCCCTAATTTGTATTCTTGTAGACATTTCTAAGATCTAGTTTGTTACTAATCATTATTTTATATTTAGTTTCCTACAAATTTAGGTGTGATTATGACATCAAGCTTCGTCTGTGTTTTATTATGTATCATCACTTTATTTTTTATGGCTAAATACAGATTTTGTATATCAATTCATTAGCTAATGGATACATCCAGAGTGCTGTCAGGAACATTCATTTACTAGTTTGTGTGAAAATATTTTTAGTTCTCTTTGAATATAACTAGAATTGCTGAGTCATGTGGTAATTATGCTTAACTTTGTTTTTTTTTGTCTTTTTGAGACAGGGTCTCACTATGCAGTTTGGGCTGGCCTTGGACTCACTTGGCTGGTCTCAAACTTGCAAAGATCCTCCTTCCTCAGCCTCCTGAGTGCTGGAATTACAAGCATGTGCCACCACGCCCAGCTAAATTACGTTTCACTTTTTGAAAAATGCCAAACTGTTTTTCAAAGTGGCTACTTTGCTATCAGAAATGTATACAGTTTGTAATTCTCCACATTCTCACCAACATTTGTGTTCACTTTTTTAATTATAGCCCTCCTAGTGGGTATGAAGTGGTAGTTCACTGTGATTTTGATTTGCACTTTCCTAAGGCTAAAGATGATGAACATCTTTCTGTGTATTTCTTGGTCATTTGCATGTCATTTTTCAGACAATTATCTTGCTGGACTTTCATCTGACATTTTTCTTCAACATAAAGAAATTTCTTCAACATTATTATAGTGCTGGTACACAGGATTATTTTTCAGTTTTTGTATGCCTAAGATATATTTTCCTTTCATTTTTGAAAGGCATTTTTTTCTGGTTATAAAATTTTGAGTTAATAATTATGTGTCTTTGAATGCTTAAATGATGTTTCTCAGCTTCCTGCATTGCATTGTTTTTTTTAGAGGTCTACTATCCTTATTTTTACTCCTTGTGTGTGTGTGTGCATATGTGTGTGTGTGTGTAAATTCTGACTGCTTTTAAGATTTTCTTGTTATCAATCATTTTGAGCAATTTGACTATAGTATGCCTTAGGGTAGTTTTCTAAATAAATATCTCTTTTGACTGTGGTTTGTTAAGCTTTTGGAGTCTTTATGTTTAGTTTTCATCATATTTGGAACTTTTTTACGGTTATTTCTTTTAACAGTTCTTTATTTCCATCTCTTGTCTTTTGATGACCTTAGTTACACAAATATTAGATTGACTGAAGTTATCCAGTAGCTCTGAGATCCTTTTGTTTATATTTTTATTTTTTCATTCTTTACCTTTGTATCGCTATTGCTGTATCTGAGATTCATTAGTCATATTCTTCTGCAATATCTAACCCTCCGATTCCATCCAGTATATTTTTCACATGAAACAGTGCTTTATAAACTCAGTTTGGGTCTTTTAAATTTATGTTCTATAACTCTGACATAATCTTCTAGCTTCTCAAACATGCAGAATATAGTTATAATAACTTTTAATGTTTTTATCTTCCAAATTTGATCATTTATACATAGTATTTTTATTGAATAATTTTGGATTATTTTTCCTGCTTTTTGTCTGCTTAGTTTTTTGTTGTTTGTTTCTTTGTTTGGGTACCAATAGACAGTGTAAATTTTACCTTTTTGTATTCTGGATATTCTTTTATTCCTAGAAATAATCCTGAGATTTATTTTGGAGCAGTGTCATTTGGAATTAGTTTGCTTCTTTACAGTCTTGATTTTTAGCTTTTAAAGGTGATACTAGGGCAGTTTTACAAAGGGCTAATTCTGCCTACCATAGGCAGTCCCATTATGAATATTCTTCGTGATGGCCCCTTCAGTTTTAAGACTTAATATTGTGACTTGTGGAAACCTGGGATGTTCTTTATAATGTGTTAGGTACTAAAATTATTCTTATTGTTCACTTTGGATTTTTTTCCTTATGTTTGGGTAGTTCCTTCATGCATATAGGCTGTTTAATTAATACTCACCTGTTGACTTAAATGTACTCTGCATATCTCTGAAACTCTTTGATTTATAGCTTTATCCTTTCTTTTACATTGCTCTGCAAATTCTAGAAATTTTAGCTTTCCTACCTCTACTCAGAAGGAGTTCTATCAGGATTTATCTACCTTGTTCCCACAGGTAATTAGCTAGGAAGATTGTAATGCTCACATTATTTTGTCACCCACTTGCAGTGATCATCCTGCGCTGTCTACTAGCAAATGAAAAAAAAAATGTTTCATATGTTTTGTATAACTCATTTGGTTAGGAGAGAATGTCCTAAATATGGAAGATGTATGTATATTTGCTTATTTTTTTCAAGGTGAAATGGTGGTGTGCTTTTTATTTTGTTTGTTTGATTTGTTTTTAATGGGAGGATATAATTCTTGTGTTTTTTTTCTGTGGATGATCCTTGTAGCAATTGATGTACAATATCTAGATTCTTAATTTATTAGTATTTTCATAGTGGTGACTTTTAACAGTTAGTTTTCTTGGGAAGTAAACTACAAGATGATTTAGAAAGATTTAGAAGCGATTTAAGGAAGGAAAAGCTTGCAGACATATTCAACCTGTGGGTCCATAGGCTACTTGTTCTCTTTTTAAAACTGTTACAATAACAAGTAAAGAATAATACAGGAAGTTTTATTACTTGCATATGTTAGCTATATTGTATATTTTATATGGGTTCCAAGACAGTTCCTCTTCACTCAGCAGCCTAGGCAAGCCAAAAGTTTGGACATATCTATAAAGGTAAATGAGCAGGAATAGTCAGAGAGACTGCAGAACTTCAGGTCTGGTACTTATGAGACAGGTAAAGAAGGAACCTTGAGGATAAAGGTCCTCACACTTGAGATACAGTCTGAGATAGGGTTTATTATGCTATCAGGAACCTCAGAACAGATGTTACCTTTAGAGGATGCCACTTAAAGCAGAAATACCCCAGTTCTAGTGTCTTTTTGCTGTTTCCGGTCATTGCCATTGGTGTGAATGCTGCAATAGATGCTGAAGGTACATAAAATGGGAACAGTTAGCTAACTGCACTCTTTGTAGCAAAGTCTCTCTTTTAGCAACCATATTGCTTTACTTTTTGCAGCTAAGCCTATTATTGATCAGGAATTAATGTGTATATACAGTGTTAAATAAGGATCACTGTTCTTAGTTCCATACTGACAGTTTATTGACCCAGAGTCATTCCTTGAGAAGACCCTTCTTTTTCCTTAATAAACTGCAGTGATGCCATTGTTGTAAATCAAGTGACCATAAGCTATGGCCTTCCTTTATATCTTCTTTGGTATTTCCTATCTTGGATTTTATGTTTATCATTTTTTGTTTTTCATATCAGATATAGTCAAGATTTTTCTGTAAAGAGCCTCTGATAGTAAATATCCTTTGCAGATCACAAGATCTATCTCAACTACTCAACTTTATTCTTGTAGCATTTAAATATCCATGGGAAATATGTACATAAATGAAATTGGCTATGTTTAAATTACCTTAGTTACAGAAACAGGCAATGGGCCAGATTTGGTTTGTAGCTATAGTTCTGCAAGGGCTAGAAAAATTGCAAATTGGAATCAGATGTTCTGGTCAGGGTGCATAACTCAGGTATAATGCTGACAGTAAAAGGAAAGGGTATGTTCTTTTCCCCTCTAACAGCCTTTCATCTTAATCTAGTTCTGTCAGCAGAGGTTTTCAGAGAGCCAGTTGGCAAAGGAGAAAAGAGGCTTCCATACACTTAATTTCAGCAACACAAAGCAGAGCATAGATGTATCAGTTTAACTACAGATGAAAGTCATCAGGGTAACAACCAGTACCTATAGAATGCCATTGTATAAATGTGTTACAGTTTTGCTATCTTTAGATGATAGACATTTGTGTTGAGGTTTCCACTATTGAAGGCAATGGTTGTTCACCTGTGTGCAAGAGTTTCTCTTATTTGTTCTCTCACTCAGTGCACCACTACTGAAATATCTTTTCATGAGTTATTAGCAGTTTCTTTCATTGCTATATCCAAAGCCTTCTATCTCCAGTCTGACTTTTTTGATCTTTAGCACTATCATTAACCACACTCTTCAAATTTATTCTTCTTTTGCAATATCATATGCTGTGGTTTCTCTTCTTGACTTTTTAAATGAAAATTTAAAATAAAATAAAAATTGAAATCAAATACAAATTTTCTTGGATTTATAGCTGATTCATAAAAAACTTGAATTTCCCTTAATTCAACTAGTATCTATGATTTTTTAAAAGTTGAAACTTGGAAAAATACAAAGGAAAAAAGTCTGTAAAGTAAACATCATCTATAACACTATATTTTGACTTTTAAAGCTTTATGTTTAAAGCTGACTTGAAAGGCAGCTCTACCCTTCTAACTTCTACCTAGACAGTTTCACATGTCTGTGGTTTTTACTGTTTCCAGGATTTATTTCAGAGATTGTGGGTTATTCTTGGCAACTCAGAATAATTGGAGTGACTTCTTTGGTAGCTGAACAAATGCCAAAAGTCTTTTTTCTTTCCTTTTACATGTTACCTATGGTTCCTTGGCAACTCTTTCAGTTTTATGGCTTTAAAGACGTCTCAATATTGGTAAAGTACTGAGGAAAATATTTGTAACACAAAAGATAGGATATTGTAGTATTTAAGAGTACAGACTGGAACCTGTGTTTGAGTCTTGATTCTTCAGTTAAGCTGCTATATAGCAGCTATATAGCATGGGCAAGATTACCATCGATAAAGGAGTAATACCACCTAATAGCATTGCTGTGGAAATGAAACAATAATAAATACAAGGTAAAAAGAGTATTCTTGGCGTGTAGTAAGTGATAGATATAAATGTTAGCTATTATAATTGTTATTCATTTATCTAGTACCCTTTGGAATGAACTTTAGAACATTATGAGTGCTTAGTAACTGATGTCTCTTTTGCCAACCCTAGTGTACTGTTAAATAGGGTAAGGCTGAAGTTTAAGAAAAGTTCTCAATGTTTTGCATTAGAGATTTGTTTCTTTGACATTCCACAAGGGAAAGTTACTACTTTTTATACTCTAGTATTTTATCAGTAACAGTTTCTGCTTCTAAGTTTTTTTTTTTGTATATGCTTTTTTTCCTCTTTTATCTTTTAATATGCTTTTCTCTGTAAACTCATGATATCTACTAGTTCACAATCAGTTCCTTAGCCTGTTTTGAGTTTTTAGTAGGTTTAAGTGAAACAAGTCATAGCCCACTAGATAAAAGATACCTAAAACATTTCACTTTCCATTTTTATTTTAATAGTTTTCTCAAAAAAAGTTTAAACATTGTTTTTAGAAAAAATTAACCAGATTTTTTTGTCATTGTTTTAGAATTTCTGCAAGGAGGGAATCAAGAGTGCATCATTGAAGGATTTGTGTCTTGAAGATAAAAGACGCATTGCAAACTTAATTAAAGAATTGGCTAGGTAAGACAAAACTTCATATGAAGTCCACTGTAAAAGACAACTATTTGAAAACAGAAATTGCTAATATTTTTTGATGTCATTATGTTATTGATCTATGGGAGAAAAGACTTTTAGAAAAAAGACATTTTGTATTCCTCTGAAACAACAATCCCCCTCAAGTACCTACCGCTATACCCTAGCTTTCTATTTGGCTCTGTCTTACAAAGGTTTCATGAATTACCTGGTGGGCTGGAGCTGAGCCATTAATAGATGGACCTTTGGGTTGCTTATCCAAATTACAATAAATATTTTTGGGGAAAGGCATTGGAACTGTTCAGATATACTATTTGCTCTGAAACTATTATTCACTATGATAAATGCTTATCTGAGAAACTTACCTGAAAACTATTACAGCAGTGTTTAATAGTCACTTTATAAGTACCATGCACTAACCGATTGTGCCACTGGAGCTCCTTAATGGTCACTTTATAGTTCTCATTTTGTTTTATGTTTGTTAATTGGAATTCTTGGTTAAGGATGAGCTGTCCTTTTTCTGTACTATTTATTTATTTCCATATTTATTTTCATAAATGTCAGACTTATGGACATTTATTTTATTCTAATCCAGGACTCACAGAAATAAAATTAAGTAACAATATAATAATCTTTAAAAAATAACTTTTATTTTGAGATCTGACAAAATCATGTATACTTTACCCAATTTCTACCAATGATTACACTTTAACTAACTGCAGAATAACATTACAACAAGGAAATTAACATTGATAGAATTCATAGTCATCTACAGATTTCACCAATTTTACATATACTCATTGAATATATTTTGTTCTATGCAGTTTTATCATGTGAATTTGATCACGTGTGATTTTGTGTATTATCACCATAGTCAAGATACAAAATGGTTCTGTTACTACTTAGATATCAAACTTTTTTTAAGTGCATGGCTACTTTCCTTCCTATGTCCTTTTCTACTCAAACCACCATTAAACTCTTCTCTAACTTTGTTGTTTCGAGAAAGTTACAGAAATGGAATCATGTAGTATGTAACTTCTGAGATTGGCTTTTTAACTCACTATAATTCTCTTTAAATCCATCCAAGTTATTAAATGTTTCATTAGTTTGTTCCATGGTTAGAAGTAACATGGTTTGTTTAACCATTCACCTGTTGAACATTTGGGTTATTACTAATTATGTATGTGCATATGTGTGGTGTGTGTGTGTGTATGTGTATATTTTGACGGGGTCGGGGCTGGGGATTTAGCTCAGCGGCATAAGCACCTGCCTTGCAAGCAGGCAGTCGTGAGTTCGATCCCTGGTACCGATAAAAAAGAAAAAGACAAAAAAAAAAAAATAATAATACATTTTGACGGGGACTGAACTTGGGATCTTGCAGCTGCTAGACCCATATCCTACAACTAGTCTACATTCTCAGTTTCTTTCCTACTTTGTCTTTATATTTTATTTTGAGACAGGCTCTTGCAAGTTGGCCAGTCCAGTCTTGAACTGGTAGACCTCCTGCCTCAGTCTTCCAAGAGCTGATATTGAAGGCATACAGTACCCTGGCTACTGTCGAGTTTTTGACAGTTTGACCAGTGAAGTTTCTATAAACGTTCATGTACAGGTTTTTGTGTGAATGTTTCCATTAGTATTTTGGGGGATAGTGTGTCATATGTTTAGCTTTGCAAAAAACTCCTGAACTACTTTCCTGAATGGCAGTACAATTTTACATTTCCAGCAGCAATGCAAGAGAGACCTATATTTTCTGCATTTAACAAATTTGTTATTATTAATTTTTATTTTAGAAGTTCTTGTAGCTAGTGATATCTCATGTTCATTTTAATTTGAATTTTTCTACTGGCCAATGGTGTTGAACTTTATTTCATATGCTTATTTCATCTGTGTTTTCTTCAGTGAAGTAGCTGTTCATTATTTTTGTCCATTTCTTATTGGAATATTTGGGTTTTTACTGCTGAGTTTTTAGAATATGTTCTAGATATACATCTTTTGTTGGATATACAGTTGTTATACTTTTTCTGGTTTATAGTTTTCTCCTTCACAGAACACATTTTAGTAGATCAGTGTTTATTTTTTCCTTTTAAATCCATGGCCCATATTTAGTTAATTTTTGTATGTTGCAGGGTATCTAAGTTGGACTTTTGTTTCTGTTTTATCTTTTTGCCTATTGAAGTCCATTTTATCTAGCATCATTTGTTGAAATCTTTTATACACTTCTGTCAGAAATCAGTGGGGTCACACTGGTATAGGTCTCTTTCTGGGTTCCTTTTTTTGCATTGATCTCTGTATCTGTTTTTCCAACTGTTTTGATTATTGTGTAAATAAAGTATAATAAGCCTCTGTGCTTCTCCCTCTTCAAAAATTTTTTAGTTATTCTGTTGTTAGTTTTCATCATAATTTTAGTTTAGCTTGTCAATGTGTAAAAAAACTGCTGAATATTACATCAAACTGTAGATGTATTCTAAGAAGAATTAAAGTTGTTACTGTGTTGTATTTTCTAATCCATAAATATGGTATATGTCTCTTCAGCTATTTAGGACTTTGATTTCTTTATGTAGATGTTTGTAATTTTTATAATGCAGTCTTACCTATCTTAATATTTAACTTTCTTTGGAGCAATTGTAAATAGTATTATACTTGTAATTTTGGTTTTTGTATATTTGTTAATAGTATGTAGAAATATGATTGAATTTTGTGTGCTCTCTTGATTCTTGAAAATTTAGATGAATTCACTCATGAGGTTTAGGTTTTTTGGTTGATTCCTTGGGATTATTAATACTTTTTGTTTTTTATGGTGGTTTGTTTCTTTTTTCTTTTTTGCTACTGGGAATTAAACCCATGTCCTTACGCATGTTAGGCAAGTGATCTTTTTGAAGAGTTTTTAAATCTTCAGTTTCTTTAATGACTATGAAACTTGTATGTATTTTATTTTGATTGAGCCTTGGGGAGTTTGTGATTTTTGAGAATTATTTTTCCTAATTTGTTGAATTTATAAGGATAATGTTGTTAATCTATTTCCTTACTGTTAATGGTGATAGGCTCTATAGTGCTTTCTTTCTGACATTAATGATTTATGTTTTCTCTCTTTTGTCAGTCTTACTATCTTTATCAATTTATGGATTTTTTTTCCAAAAAATCAGTTTTGTTCAATTGATTTTTCTGTATCTCTTAGTTCCTTCATTCCTTGCTTTGGACTTTGCTTTTTTTCTAGTACCTTAGGTGGAAACTTATATATCATTCTTCTACTAATGTATTTAATACTATTAACTTGTTTCTTTAATATGCTTTCACAGTACCCTACCTAGTTTTAATTTGTTGTATTTTCATTTTCATTCAGTTCTGTATATGTTTTTTGTTTTTTGTTTTTTTTGTATCAGGAATTAAACTCATTACCCTCTTCTTGCCAGGCAGGTGCTTTTACCACTGAGCTATATCCTCAGCCCCCAGGTCTGTATGTTTTTTAAAATTTCCTTTGCTATTTTCTCTTTGGTCGAAAAATGGGTTATTCAGAACTGTTTGAATTTCCAAGTGTTTGAAATTTTTCTCTTCTTTCCTTTAGTGACTTCTAATGTGGCTTTATAATGATCAGAGAACAATTAAAAATTTTTTTGAGATTTGTTTTATGGTTCTGGATATAGCTGGTCTTGTTGAATATCCATAAATGCTTGAAAAAATGGTTTATAATTGTATCTCTCTTAACTGACATCAAGAATTTTCTTTAAAATTAAAAAAATATCATTCTGTGTGCAACTAATTCTCCCTCATTGTTGCAACCCATCTAACTACTGTACAGAAGCCTTTCTTATCCTACTGAAATTTGGGCTCCCAATTCCAGTCCCTCTGTCTTCCTCCTATAGATGCCCTCTCTTCCTTGCTTGTCTTCTAGCACACCATTCTAGGCTTTGCTGTACCCAAATGCCTGCCTCACTGCCCTCAGATTCTGACTTTTCATGACTGTGCTCACTACATGGACATTCTCTTCTTTCTGCTTGTGCTTTCATATCCCGTGCCCAGCCACCCCTTGGTGGTTATGTCCTCCTTACCCGTCTCTGGCTCTGACTTCACATGCTCATCCTAGATGCTCTCTTCAGCCACCTCAGGTTCTCATTGCGTACAGTTGTGGTCTTCTTGAGGACAGCTATGCTCTGTCTGCCTGATTTCTGACACTCTATACAGATTACCCCTGAGTACATGTCCTCTTCAACTCCATCCTCATGTTAACATTTTGAAAATTTTTATTTTTAATTTTAATGTAATACAAGTAGATAAAAATAAAGAAAATATAAAAAAACACATTTCATAACAAAATAATTGTAGAATAACAATAATTCATATAGCATGTATCATAATAGTAAAAGAATGGCCAGTTACTCAGTACATATACATACTATCTTTGCTGTTTATTAGTTATACTTCACCCTGCAAGGATCCCCTCCTACCATACATGGACTCTGAATCTCTATACTAGGTCACCAGCATCTCTTTACAGGGTACAGATCCTGTTCCACTTAAGTTTTTGCATGCCACATGGATGCTGTTATTACCTTGCTTAGGTCCTGGCATCTCTTTTTGTACTGCCGTGTGTGTGGCTGTCTTCAGTTTGCTTGGGCCTTGACAGTCTTGGCCACTCCTCTATGTAGATGCCATCTTTGTCCCACTTAGATTCTGACTCTGCCCACATCATCATTTCAGGTCTTAGATGTTCAAGGAGAAAAGGCAAAGTGGAAAAACAGAGAAATGACATGAAAGTTGAACTTTCATTTTAAAGAGAAAACTGTATCCTTGGGTAAAAGACAGTTAGATTATTTCCTTTTTCATGAACATCACAGAGTTTTATATTCATATACTTTGCTTTCTAAATCATAGCATATAAAATGCGTCAGTAATTGCTTCTTCAGTGTTATGCCTGCTTTACTTGATATATCATTGGTTTTTTTTTAATCAATAAGCTTCTTATGAGTAAATAGAGAATAAAGATAAGTTAT